GTAAGTGTCGCCACTTGTGCCCCCTCCCGCGCGCGTGTGTGACCCTCGGGGGAGACCATACGGGGGCGAAAGCGTGGCCCTGCGCTGGTGCGCAGCTTGGCCGGACCAAGCTCCCAAATGTTGTGCTTCCTGCCCAAACCTTTCTCCTAGCACGGGTGGGCGCAAGGTGCCAAGAGCGAGGCTCCTTCCATCTGTCAGGTGCTACCTAATAAATCACAGGTGGAAGGCGATGGGCAATTTCCACGCTCGGAAACCGGTTCCTGTAGCGCATCACGTTTCGGGTTCCCAGGTCTGTCACCTTCGGTGAGAAGCTGGAGCGCTGTCTCGTACCCGCTGCTGGTAGCAGGAGGGGGAACCGGCGTTGTAGCGGAGTGTGCTGAACCCCACACGGATGTTTCTGGTTGTTCACATCCCCCAGACATGCAGGAAGGCACTGGTGCGGTGCCGCCTGCCGTGCGAAGCCCTAGGTAACGCGAGGGGCCGGAGGCAGGGACGCCTGAGGGAGCGCCGGTTGCTCCAGAACCACCTCGATCACGAGAAGGTGGGAAGGAAGACACTGTAGCTCCTCTTGGGTGTAAAAGGCTTTAAAATGCTTCATTTTTCCAAGGAAAGCCTCCTTAGATCGTTTGTTTTTAAGAAATCTAATATCTTTCATGGCTATTATGTTGTTATTGGACCAAAATGGATTTCCTGTTAGGTAAGACCACAGTGGAGTATACTACAAAAGGCTTCAGAAATGTGCTAAATAAAACCTTCCGTCTAGCCCGATGCTCTCATGAAATGGAAGTCCTTCCCAGCTGTATTCTTGAGACACAGTGATGTTTTACGTAACTCTTTAAATACAGTCAGCAAAAATACGCTCTCTGTAATTAGCTTCTGGGTAATACAACATAGGTTCCTTCCCTTTTTTTTTTTTCAGAGATGTGGGAGATTGACTTAGTTTTAGACTCTCTTTAAACATCTTATAGCTGTGATGCTGAAAACTCAGAAACACTTTTCTAAATGCTCTTTCTGGTGAGCACTCATTTTGGAGATTGTAGGCCAAGAACTCTGGAGAAACTTAGGTTTTGTTTTCTATAGGGCAACTCTTAGCGAAAAGATCAGTTAGAAGATATTTTTTCATTAAAATCAGAAAATGAAAATATCAGCCAACAAAGCTTCAGAACCTTAAAATAGTTGTGTAGGAATTATGTTTACGTAATATTTTGTGTCTGACTTAGGTCACTTTTAAATTTACATAATTACTTTCTAAAATCCGATTAAAATTTTTAAATTTGTTTTAAAACTGGTTTGGGATTATATTTTAAATCTGCTGTTATGCAACTATGGTGAATAAATTGGTAATAAAAGCTCTTAGAACTGTGAAGGTAAGACAGTAACAAATCAAATATGAATAAGGGGGTTTTATCTTCCAATTTTTTTTCTTCAATATATGGAAAATCAAATTTTTAAAATATTTTTGTAGGTTGTCTGCCCATTTTCATGTTGGAAGGTGGTTTTGAGTGTATCTTAATGTGAAAAGTTAATTCCTGGATGTAAGTACAGTGGGGTGGGTTTTTATGTGTTTTATTTTTAAATAATAGGTGCAAGTGCCATGGTTGTTGGCTACAAATTTTACTTAACAAAAACCCCAAATGGTGAATAACATGCAGATTAATACAATGTCAGTTGTGTTTTTTTCCACTCAGTGCTTTCTAGCTGTCTCTTTAATTGTGAAACATTTTTAGGAGAAACTCAGGATCTGGGGTGAAAAGTCTGATTTAAAGTGCACGTGAAGTGCTCCATGGCAGTGTCTTTCAGCGGCAGCCTGCAGACAGGATCCAGCTCGTGAAGCAGGCTGCGGACAGCCCTGGTGGGATCCCCTCCCAGGATCAGAGGTGGTAGGTGGTGTTTTCCCACAGGCGTTGCTCTGCCCGCAAGCCTGCAGAGCCGGCAGCCGGGGGCGGAGGAGGCACGCGAGGGCACGCGCTAGTTAGCTCACACTTTCGCATGGTCTCATTCAGATTCCTGTTTTTTGGGAGTGAGATGTGTGAGGTCGGGATAGAGGCTGTATTGCCCTTGTAGCCTCTGGCTGACAGCAGCACACCGGGACGTCGGTGCTGTCTCCTGAGGTGGCTTTCGGTCTGGAGTCAGGCATGGGCTGCCTGACCATGGAAAAGAGCAGGAATCCTCTTTGGTGATTAGCATACTTTCACCATACGCGTTTCTTCTTGTCTTGGTGTTACCACGCCACGCTCAGTACCTACCGTAGGATCTCTGTGTTGGTGCAGGTCTAAGCTGCGGGAAGATAAAGCTGTATTACTGGAGTGATTCCTGCCTTCCCTTTTGCTGCTCTGGGTTCTGTACTGCAGTCAGGCTGCTGCCGAGTGCTGTGACCCGTGCTCTTAAATCATAAAGACCCGAAGCATAACAAACACTAGCCAGGGTGGTTTGTTTATTCCTCTCTTCTATTCGGTGGTCTGTCCCCCTTCAAAAGACAGCTGAAGAGCCTGCTACATGAACTGACAGCAGTGAGATTGGCTTTCTAGCGTTGGGCAGAGAGCAGTTTTCATCTGTTTTCATCAGCTGTAAACACCCTCAAATGGCTTTTGCTGTAAAAGCTGTGGCTTCTGGAAGAGGTCAGGTGCCGTGAAGGGAACATACTGTGCAGGGTGTTAGCTTGATGTTTACACAGGTGTTATAACAATGGACTGAGCCTGAAAGGTCTCAGGTACTGAAGGAGGAAAGGCAGATCACTCTTCCCCAGTTAGCTTACTTTCTTCTGTTGTGAAGTAGGTCGGTGTATCGTTTCTGCATCAGGCCTCTGGACAGATGCCTGTGTTCTGCAAGGGAATCACTCCTGTCTGTACAGTGTTTACAATGGCAAACAGGCCACTGGCTGAGTGAGCTGTTAGCCATGTTCCAAATCTGGTTTATTGGGATTTTAGTTCTGGGTTACCTTGGTCACGGTAGCTGCTCTTCATCTCTGTGCTTGGCTGAAAGAAAATACACTGGGAGGGGGAAAAGCAAGCCAAGAGAAGGATGCTCGGCTCAGGTTTTGGTCTGTTCACACATGAAACCAGGACAGTTTTATGGATGTGCAGATATCTGCCTGTCGGGCCTTGTATAATTCTGTGGTTTATTTCCTTTCGTTTGTGGCGTTCTCTGTTTCATTGTCAGTGGATTTCGGTGGAGACGTGCTGGAGGCTGTAGCCGCTGGGTTGGAGCCAGCCGATGGGGTGTGCCTGGCCGTTGGCATGGAGTGGTGCAGCTGCAGCGATGCTGCTGCCTGCTTCTCATCACTGCAGCGCTGGCCGTGGCCAAGGCTCAAAGCCAGTGCGAGGGAGGGGGCAACCCCTGGTTAATGCCTGCTACGGTTCAGGCAGGCACAGCTGTTTCCCTTCTTCTTCCCCATTGCTCACCTTCAGCTTTGCTTTGTGGACGTCTCTAGTGGTTTTATACGCGGAGGAGTTTTTATTCTTTAGCAATACAAAGTCTTCCCAAAAATCCCAGTCTTCTAAGCCATGTCACCAGCCCATCTGAGGCTCTTAACGTGGGCAAAATTAAGTAGTAGGTTTCCAAGTAAATGTTATCTGGCTGTTTCTCAGTAAATCAGACAATCTGGGTTAAAGTTTGTCGTAAAACCCTAGTCTTACTCCCTAACGTTCTGTTAAGTGCTGCATGATGAAATAGAACAATAAATTTTAAGTTGAATTCTGTGTTTGCAGGCTTTTGTGTTTGCAGTAGACGAGCACTGAAAAGTTTACCACAGATGAAAGGAGCGACTTTTTATACTTTCAGAGAGCTTTAACTGCACAGGGCAATATTCAGACTACTAGATGGAAGAAGTGAGTGTTGGCAGTGTATAAATAACGTTGCCAGTATTTTCACTGCTTCTCTACACTTTCCAGAGCTAGCCTGTTTAAATGTAGCTCCACCCGCAGCCAGTAGTGGTTAAGTGCCTCAAAAAAATTAAGAGTGCAAGCAGGAAAGGGAGCCTTTCATAACGAAGTCATGCGTGCAAAGGATTGGAAATTTCAGAAGTGCAGTCATGTTTTTGTGACAGATTGCAAAGATGAAAACAGCTTTGGGCAGTTAAGTGTCTGAACTTACTACTGGTGTCTTCAAGGGAGAGAAGCAGTATTGTACAATCATGCCCCTCTCTGCTTTGGCTAATTTTATGCTGTTCCTTCAGTTTAGCTGTTAGCTGTTTTTACTATGTAAGTGCTGGTTGTGACATTTTGCGAACAGGTAACGATCTAGATTGATTGTAGAGAAGTATAAGCATGCAATTCAAGTCTCAAGTTGAATATTTGAGCCTGTCTCCTACTTCCTTTGCCTCTTCAGAACGTCTGAAACAGGAACACTGATTTTCTTTGGTCACAGTTTAGAAGGTGTAAAATCATTCTTGTATTTGTTGGAAGCTAGGTCAGCGAATTTGCTTTCTCTTAACAAGTTTTGAGGAGGTTGCTTACTTTTTTCCTTCATGGAAAATGCTGCATGATATGCCAGTGTTCGCAAGTAATGCTCTGCTGCTTTATAAAGGTAATCTGAGAGAGTGGGTGTATCTAACCAGATTCACAACACTCGGTATGTAGATATAAGCAGAAAGTCTCCTAATCTCTGCGCTTAAGCTGTTTCCTCTCCCAGCTGATACTCTTTTCACATGGGGCTTCAGACACTAAAAAGCCTATTTTGATTTTTTTGTGTATGTTCTGCCAAATCAGTTCCTCCAAACATCCTTGCTTTTTGTCTTTTGGGTTTGAGAGTGCCATGTTTAAGAGAAAAGCCATGTTAACTGTTCATTCGATGCATGATGTGCTTTCCTTCCAGAGATAGCAAGTTAGATGCAAGAGAAAGTCTAATATTCTGATAACTACAGGAAAATTCTAATTGATCTTCCATATTTTAGGTTACAGAGATAAAGGTCTGTGTTACACAGGTGTGTCCACAGTCTGAATTAAACTCATTGAAATATTTCCAGTTCATAATTCATGTAGATACTATTTTTAGGTACTGCGGATAGGTTTGTGGCCTAAATCGAAGGCATTTTAACCAGAGCTTCTTGGTCAAGACGCACTGCAGGACAGCATCTTGCATGCACTCGTCGCTCTCACTGTATTGACCTCTACATCATGACCTGGTTGGTTGATGTGGGCCTACAGATGTTAAAGAGACAGTCAGACTTGCATTGGCAGGGTTTGCTGGAATATATTTTTTTAACTACCCTTCCTCCTGGTGAGTCATAGTGTTACTAATATTTAATGTGTAGTATTGCCGACCCTAAATGCTGAAAATGTGAGCTGGAGTCAGAAAGTGAGATTTCAAAAACCATGGATTATTGTTATTTGCTGTTCCTCTTTTCTGTTTTGTTGTGGTGATGTACGCTAGTTACTTTTTAGAAGTCAGTCTCAAAGCTGTGAAGAAAATCAGATGCAGGAGAGGTGGTAATATCTTGGTATCCCGGAAGGAAGGAAGCCTACTTGTC